TCTCTCTCTCTCTCTCTCTCTCTCTCTCTCTCTCTCTCTCTCTCTCTCTCTCTCTCTATATATATATATATATATATATATAAATTTTTATTTATTTAATTATTTATTTATTTATTTTATTTTTTATCTTATTTTATTTATTTATTTTTTTATACTTGTTACTTCTTACAGAATGCTGTACTATTATGGTGTTGACATTATTTCAAACTATGCCTGGGCTTCATGTTTAAAAAGTTGTGTTTTTTTCAGGAGCTGTAACAACTGAAATGAGGAATACTCTTAATGCCGTTTTGGAGAATGAACAGTGCTTTTACAAGGTTTGTATTTACACTTTACATACTTATGACAATTTTGGTATGAGCATCAACATATCCTTCAATTTAGAGAAAAAATTATAGATGAATGTAGAACCTTTTTTGTTAATGTATATGAATATTATCTAGTGTTTATCAACTTTTCTTCTTTTGGGAATCAGATTTCTTTCTTGTCCATTTTCTTACTGTACCTTCCTTTCCCCCATTTTTTTCTTTCTTTCTTTCTTTTTTTTTCTTTCTTCAAAAACAGGTCCGTTGTAGAGCAGCACACTGCCTGACCAGAGTAGCCAATGCCATGGTAGCAAACTGGAATGGTCCTCCAGCAATGATGCAGATCTTCCGCAAGATGTTTGGATCCTTTTCCTGCCCCAATATCATAAGGCAGCATGACTTTACCAGCTTACAGAACTACTTCATTCTCAAGGTTAGAATATTGAAAAGTTTAATCATATTTGTTTTCTTGTTATTGTAAGTCTTTTTATATGCACAATGATATTCATGCATATTTGAGGGCATGCTTGTGCAAAGATGCTCTGAGACCAATTTGAAAATGCATTTATTAGATGTTTTGTTAGCTTAAACTTTCATCTATAAAGTAAGCATCAATTTGTTCACATTAATTTACTACAATCTCATGATTACAGTGCATAGACATTAATGTGTTGATGCTTATTTTATAGATGAAAGCTTAAACTAACAGAACACCTAATAAACTAACATATTTTCAGGAAGTTAGTCTAAGAATAGCCTTGGGTCCACATGCCCTCATTTCACCTTGGTATTTTCCTTGTTAAACAGGCTGTTAATAGCTATCTTTTGGATACTTTGTAGACACTGCCAGTTGCCATGGCAGGTCTTCGCAACACCCACAAGCAGTGTCCTCCTGAAGTTTTGGGGTTCCTGATGGACCTCTTCAAGTATAGTGATAATTCCAAGAACCGCTACTCAGACAATTACTACCGCGCTGCACTTGTTGATGCCTTGGCAGCTGCAGTTTCTCCAGCACTTGTGCAGCATGACCCAGCAACCATTACTTCAGACACTCTGACTGAGGATATGAAGAGGATCTTAAGCGAAGTATGATGATGACATTTTACTTTAAATGTGCAGGTCTTTCAAATGTTGATCAGACCATTATATATAAATTGTTATGTATTTCCATTATGTTACATTATTATTCCTGAATCATAATATATTTTTTAAAAGGAAAATAATTTCTGTTTCTTTTAATCAGATTGTTCGTTACTTGAACTTAGAAAAAATGCTGCCTTGTTATAAGTATACTGTGACAGTGTCCTGCCTCCGTGCTCTGCGGGTTCTTCAGAAGAATGGTCATTTACCGCCAAAATCTGACATCTTCAAGGCATATGCAGCTTACCCACAGTATATAGGTTGAAAAATTTGTAAATTTTTGTTTAATTCAAGAAGCTTTTACGGTTAATGTGGAGATGACATATTTGCAGTCTCATTGCACATGGCTATATCTGACCCATTGTTTTGTAGTACCTCAGTTAATCTAAAGACATTACTGATATATCTTGGCAGATGTGCGCCTTGCAGCAATTGAGCAGATAGTAGACTTCCTAATCCGCGATGGGACTCGTGAAGATATGGACTTTTTGCTGACACTGGCTGAGTCAGACCCTGTTCCAATGATCAGATATCGTACCCTTGTACTGCTAGCTAAAAATCCTCCATTCATCATGGGTCAGAGTCACAAGTTGGACACCCAGCAGCTGGTGGATCGTCTCTGGAATTTCATGAAGTAATAACCAAATCATAATCTGTGGACTTGCAGATTGTCAGCATCTGATATTGCCATAGTTGTCAGGCATGAATAAAGGTTTAAGTGACCTGCAAAACTTTAAAGACTGATCAACTGTCAGTTGTATAGTATACATATGTGTGTTTAATTATATTCAAATGTATTTCACAATTGTTATGAGGCTTATTTATTGACAGTTCTGGACAGCCATGTGACTCAAGAGTACGTTGTGCAGTGCTGGATCTCTACTACGCCTTGTATGGCCGTCGTAGGCCAGCTTGCATTCCTGCCTCAGAACCTGCACTGGTGCTGAATCTTCGCAAACCACCGAATCCACCCATCATGAGTCCCGTTATAGTAAGCTTTGAATATATTGCATCTTAAAATGGTGCGACTTTTAAAAAATGTCATAGAAAATTTATCACTTACCTAATTTGATTATTCTTTCAGCATGAACTATTGGTGTTAACATAAAGGCTTCATAGCACAATAAGAAGGCTTGTTACGTTAGAAAAGTTCAACATTTTGTTATCAAGAGTAGAATCCAAAAACTAATATTATGTAGAAATACACATTTTTCATCCTTCCCTACATTTGCCTTCTTACTGATGGGTTTTGTAAGAACTACAGTGACTTCTAGGATTTCACTGCATTTGTAGAATACCTGGATGGATATTGTATACTTGTGTCATCTTTATTGGTATTTCATGTTAATCTTTAAGTAGCATTAAGGACCCTTACTATTTTTGAAACTTGGTTTAATTTTGTTTCTCTCTCTCTCTTTTGATACAAATGTATAAAATAAGTTTCCTATATAGAGGTAACAGAAGAAACTTGGGGTAGAAAGAACAAAGTAGTTCATATGATTTATTGATAAAAATCTGAAAACTATGGCAAGTACTAATACTTTTGTACAAGCTCAGCCCCTTTTGTAACAGAGTATAGCACATTATCACATATCCCGATATTAACACAAGGAACTTTCTACCAGTAGGCCTATATGTTTTTGTTGTTTTTTGCCTGTGACTGGCAGATTTTTTTCTGACCGATTATCTATCATTTAGTAGTGCTTCTTTTGAGCTATATAATCTTTTGAATTATTTCTCAGAGGGGGATATCATCCCCTCCCAGAAACTGGAAGTTTGCATTAATTTTTTCTATAGTATAAGGAGGTAAAAATTTATATGCTGTTGCTCAGAAATATTGTCATAAAAAACAGTAATCTGTCATTTAAATGATGTAAGGCAGTGGCAACCACTGTAAGTGATTACTTCGCAAATGAGAATCAACCTGTATTAGTTTATGTTTATGAGAGTGATTATATATAATTTTTTTTTTATGTATAGTGAAGAGGAGTATTTAGGAAGGAGAAAGATAGTGACCAAGTTAAATAGTTATTTTAGTGTGATTTACCTAAGTGTAATGGTCTTAGGAATGATGAAAATGCCATAACATAGCTCTAGGAGATTCTTATATCTACAGCATTTTAAGAATTTTCAGTATGTATAGTTGTAAGTTAAAGACCTCCGTTGGTGTTAAACGATTGAACTGATCTAAAATCTCTGCAACAGGTGAAAGAAGAAGAGGAAGAGAAGATTCAGCCCATAAAACGTGAGGCGCCACCGGATGATGTTTTCCCGGAGCTCAAGACAGAAATCAAGACTGAAGTGAATGAGATGCCTGTTGAGGTTATCTTTACAGAAGATTCCAAAGTTAGAATAAAGGTTTGCAAAACTGTTTCTATAAGTCAGCTAGCTTTGTATTAATTGTGAAATACCAGTTCCTAAGGTCCAAGGCAGGGGATCTCTGCTGCCTTGGACCTCAGCCCTTGCCTCAACAAATTTTACACTGTCTTTTCTCCTTCTTCTCTCTATCTCTCATCTTCGACAACCCTTCTCCTATCCAATTCCTAAGATGTAAGAGCTGTGTTGAAAGAATGAAAGGCTGACCTTGTGCCAGTCGTGAACGACCTCAGGGAGCCATGGGCACAGTATTCCTTGGTAAATCATTTAGCCCTCACCCATTATGGGGACCCATAGGGATGGACCTTTTTACCTTCCCTACATGTGTCAGGCATACCATGGCCAGTAATGAAGATTTTGTACCCTTATTAGGGGCATTGAGGCTTGCCCCCTTATCAACTAGCCTTTCTGAATCTAACTCCTCTAGTTTACCGACCCTGACTCCCCTTTGACCACGGCTCAGAACACTGCTAGTACACCACCCTCCTCAAGACATACTGCCAACTTAACCCATTCTGAATCATCTACCCAGGTACCAACTCACCCCATAAAAGGTATCCCATCCTCACTCCCACTACAAATTTGAGAGTGAAGTAGCAGTTTTCAGATTCAAACTAAGCCTCACTCTACGAGAGGCTAGACAAGAAGCACGACGACGTGGTTTTCAATCACTGCTTACTTCAATACCTTAAATCAGTCCACTCCCATTCACTCTACCCAAGTGGTCTAAACATCTACAGCACCATTTTTCCCTGCTTCTCAGCTTTCCACCTCTAATTCTCTTATCTCCCAGTCAAATCATTTTTCCATCCTAGACCCAGACTCTCCAATATCCACAACTTCCCCCATGTCTCTTCCTATTTCACGCCATACCTATTGCATCAGACAACCCAAACTCCCCACCCCATCTTCTACCAGATCCCATCCCACACCTACACCCTCAGATCTTCAGATACCGATCTCATCTTCACCTCCCCATAAAAGATCTTTCCTTTCCCAAACCTCCCCACCCAAATCCCCCCCAGAAACCCTTGAGGACATTAGAAACTTTCTATTATGACAAGAGAAAGTTTCTCCCTCTCAGGTATTCATCAATTTCACTACCCAGATTCTGGCTGCATTCAAAGTGACTGCCGAAATCCACCCACCCCCCTTCCTGACATCCCCCCTATCCCTCTTCCTCCTACACCTTCCCAATACACCCTATCCACTCCCCCACCCGTACCCAAACCAAAAACCCTTCCTTCCCTACTATCCCTACCACTCCCTCCTGGTTGCACACGTGAATCCCTTCTATTACAATGTCCTTCCCCAGATCCCACCTTTCTTGATGAACCTCCAGATACCATACCTTCACCTCCTCCCCCTGATCCCTCCTCTCATGAGGATTCTCTTAATACTACACTGCCAAATCCATCTCCTGATCCCATACCTCAACCAGCCGGCAACCCCTCCTCTTACCTCTCAGACATCCATTGCTACCCATAATACCTGTTCAATGATCCACAATGGCTCTGCTGCAGTGGAACATTGGAGGCTTTTGCTCACACAGACCTGACCTCCGCCATCTTCTCTTCTCTTAGAATCCATCTATCATCTGCCTCCAAGAAACCTTCCTCACACATCCGCCAGTACCAATTCCCAACTACCATATTGCGTCACTCCCTCATTCTATATTTGCCTCTTCCATACTTGTCCATCATAAAACACCATATATTATACCTCCTTTACAAAGCACCATACCTTGCACAGTTATCTGGATTTTCCTCCGCCACTGGACCACAATCATTCCAGTCTACTTCTCTCCTTCCCTCCCTGTTGACTGTTTAGAATTTGAGACCTTACTTTCCCAACTCCAACCACCTTTCCTAATAGATGGAGACTTTAACTGTTGCCATACCCTCTGGGGTAACTCTATTATCAATAACAGGGGTCACTCCTTAGAACAATTTCTATATAAAATTGACCTTATCCTCCTAAATTCCAACAGTCCCACTCACTTCGACATGTGCACTCAATCCTTTTCATGCCTACATCTCTGTTTTTGCTCTCCTACCCTTCATATAGACTTCCATTGGTCTGTCCTAAGCAATTTTCACCTTAATGATCACTTCCCAATTCTTCTTTCTTCAACATCCTATATCCCACTCCCCAACCCTCCTCACTGGTGCTTTGCCATAGCAGACTGGAATATCTTTACCTCTCTCTCTACTCTTGAACTTCCTCCATCATCCTTCTTTACCACCTCAGAAATGATCCAATAATTCACAACTGATGTACTAAATGCAGCCTGTGTAACCATCCCTCGAACCTCCTGACCTTACACCACAAAATGTGCTCCATGGTAGAACCTTGAATGTACAAAAGCACTTTGTTTGAAGCGCACAGCATGGAATAGCTACAGATACAAGAGAGGCACCCCCATCCAGCTAACAGCCTTCATATCTTTTAAAAAAGCATTAGTCCACCTTTGCCATACAATCCGTTACTCAAATGACAAACACCTGGCAAAACTATATATCCTCCATAACATCCTCCAAACCAATCTCTGCAGTCTGGCAGCAGATCCATAAATTATCTGGAAAATGTCCTCCTCATCCTGCCCCTGTCCTCCATATTCATAATAACCTCATCTCTCTCTTCAAATAGCTACTGAACTTAGTGCCTTTTTTTTAGCCAAGTCAGTATTGGCTCTCATCTTTCTCCTCACTTCTCCTTAAAATCAGACAGAGAGTGCACTCATATCTCATTCTCCCTGTTTTCTACAGAACCTTATAATGCACCCTTTTCTTCTTCTGAAATCTATTGTGCACTTCAGTCATGCCATACCGCAATCCCCATGAAGGCCCAAACAGTATATATTATCGTATGCTACAATACCTTTCTCCTACTTCCCTATCCTTCCTTCTTTCAGTATTCAATAACATATGGATGACTGGAAACTTTCCTCCCCACTGGAGAGAAGCCATAGTACTACCTTTCCAAAAACCTAACAAAACAGGCTACCGCCACATAGCCCTTACAAACTGCCTATGCAAATTAATGAAAAAAATGAAAATTTTCAGATTAATGTGGTACCTAGAATACCACAAAATCATTTCACCAAATCAATTTGGATTTAATTGCAGCAGAAGCACAGCTGATCCATTAGCCTATATAGAAACATTAATCATATCAGCTTTTGCATGCTGTGAGTCAGTATTAGCTGTCTTTTTCAATCTTGGAAAAGCATATGATACTACTTGGTGGCACCATATACTACAAAAGCTATCTCTTCATGGCATATCTGGAAACATGGTGTTTTTATATAAAATCCTTCCTCTCTGACCTGCCTCTTCCGCTTCCTCTTCTTTTCCGCAATTCAAAGGTGTCCCGCAAGGCAGTGTACTAAGCACCACACTGTTCCTCACAGCTGTATACGGATTAGTATCAGCTTTACCACCAAGAATCTGATCATCACTATATGTAGATTATCTAGCCATCTTTGCCTCTGGTCCTTCCATACAAGTTCTCCATCAACTTATCCAGTTGTTAGTAACATCAATCTCTTCATGGGCTACAAACCATGGCTTTTGATTCTCTACCTCTAAAACTCTCTCCATCCTATTCTCTTATTCACGTATAGGCTCCCAACTTCCACTCCTCTTTTATGATATCCCTATCCAATCCTGATCTTCCA